AGAGGGGGAAGGGTTACAAACAAAGGTTAGCCTTTACATTGGTTCCCTAGGGAACTGCAGACAGGTCAAAACATAGAACCACAGCATTTTAAAACAAAGTTCACATTAGCTACCTGGCACCAACATGCCACACCTGAAAGGCAGGCCACTGTCCTCATGATGCTGGAAATAGGGGATGGTAAACAAGTAAGTGAAAATACCAGAATGCTTTCTTGCCAGAATTCAGCCACCTTTATTTTCATTAAGCATTCCCTTAGGCCGGGCGCGGTGGCTCACGCCTGTAATCCTAGCACTTTGGGAGGCCGAGGCGGGCAGATCGCTCAAGGTCAGGAGTTCGAAACCAGCCTGAGCGAGACCCCGTCTCTACCAAAAATAGAAAGAAAGTAATTGACCAACTAAAAATATATATACAAAAAAATTAGCCAGGCAGGGTGGTGCATGCCTGTAGTCCCAGCTACTCGGGAGGCTGAGGCAGTAGGATCGCTGAGCCCCGGAGATTGAGGTTGCTGTGAGCCAGGCTGACGCCACGGCACTCACTCTAGCCTGGGCAACAAAGTGAGACTCTGTCTCAAAAAAAAAAAAAAAAAAAAAGCATTCCCTTGGTTGCCGTAACTTTTTTTATTAGATTACAGAGTTCTGGAAAAGTTAATTTTGTACGTTTTTGCCAGCTTTAAAGGTTGTTTCAGTCGAGGGACCAATTCTTTGAGCTCCCTACTGCCATTTTCGGTGATGTCACTCCCAGTTTTTATTGGAAATGTTTCAAGTATGAGTTTTAGAAGATTTTGCTCTATTTTATCAGGCTTCCCCACACCCCCCCCCCCAAGTTTATTGTGGAAAGAGTGATCCTCTGGATCCCTTTCTGGGTCAGTCTAATCAGCTTTTGCCATACAGGATTTAGCACTTGAGGTTAAAATCAGTATGTGTACTAGTAGATACAGGATCAGATATCCCTAGGTCATGTGCATCCAAAAGAATTCTAAATCCTCTGAATAGTTGCTGGTATTGCCTGGGTTTAAGGAAAATCCTTAATTTAGCTGCGTTCCAAATTTTGAATTCTACAGTTGTCTGCAGACCTGGCTCAGTAGGAGATTTAAGCAATAGGAAGAGGAGGGAGGCATTGACAGAGGTAGAGAAGAGTGGAAGGATAAGGGGAAGAGGGAGACCTGGATATAGGGAAGTCATTGGAGGACAAGGAGGCCAGGAATTTATACTAGAGTGAGGAGTCCATTTGGCTGTTTGTGAAATTATTCATTAGCTTTGGCTAAACAATCTTTTAGTGTAAGAATTTTTGAATCAGAATTTCACTTGGAGTCCCTTGCATACCAATAAAAGAAAATTGTTTCCCATAGAGCCTGAGAAATTTTATTCCCTTTCTTTCCTCAGGCGCCTCTCAAATGAACAATTTTCAAGTGAAATTTCCCCAGAGTGCCATTGAAGGCTCAAATCATCCTTGGCAAAATTATGCCACTTAGAGAGCTAGATTAAGATTGCAATGCGTGTCCATATAAGAAGCAAGAGTTTTTCCTGGAGGAGGGGAGGATTTAGACTTAGACAATCCCATGAGAAGCAGCAATAGTCCAAAGTGATGCCTGTGCACCTCATATATCAGGTCCCCACCCTGACAGTTGGCTGCCTCTGAATGCACACCTGACAATCTGTGTCTCCATGTAGTCAGCAAATCAGAGAGAAGATTTCTCCTGAATCTTTCTCTGTCTCTACTCAGCTCTCCCTTCTGGGGTTTGGGCTGTTTAGAGCTTATCCTGGGGAATGCAAGTGTAAACTCATGACCACTTTGACAGTGTTATATCAAATTCTGGTGTTCTTACCTGATAATCCTTTTGATATTTATATTTTGGAATTTTTAAACAGCTGCTCACATACCTATCCAGGTTTTGTAGTTGTTTTCAGTGGGAAAAAAAGTTAGTGTGTGTTTACTCCACCTTTTCTGGAACTAGAACCCTTCACCTGATAACTTTGAAATATATAAAGCAAAACTTTTTAGAACTAAAAGAAGAAATAAAAATTTTATATTTGGAAACCTTAATAATTTCCCATCAGTATGTATTAGACAAAAATTCAGTAGAAATAAAAGATGAGGATGATATAATTAATCAACTGTTCTATTTTTGCTCACGTAGAACACTATATACACCTGTAGAACGCACATTCAAGTGCACATGTATTGTTTTCAAAAATATACTACATTCAGGGCCATAAAGAGTCTCCACAAATTTTTATGTGATTGAAGTCCTAGAGAATATGTTCTCTGATTACTGTGGACTTGAATTTAAAAATCAGTAAGAGAAACATATTAGGCATCTTCAAATGTTTGGAAAGTAAGCAACACACTTCTAAATAACTGGTGGATCCAAGTAGAAAATATGTTTAACTAAAAGGTATTAACAGTATAGTGTTAATATTCAAACATACAGGGTGCAACTAAATCAGTGTTTAAAGGAAAATCTACACCTTTAGATTATCTAAGTTCCTATTACAAGATGCTAAAAAAAGAGCAAGTAAAACCAACAAAAATAGGATAAAGAAAATAACAGCAATAGAAATCAATGAAATAGAAAGCATGCACACAATAGAAAGAAAATTAGCAAAGCCAAGAGGTAGTTCTTTAAAGATTAATAAAATGTAAAAAACACAAATTACCAATATTAATGAAATGGAGAGCATTGTATAGAACCTTCAGAAATTAAAAACATAATATGAAAAACTTTATGGCAATAAATTCAATAAATTATATGTAAAAGACATTGCTTGAAAAACACTTATTAAAAACTGATATAGAACTTTGCAAATTTTTGTATTTTTGTGTCTGTTAAAGAAATTGCACCTGTAATTAAAAACACACAAACAGAAAAGTTGGCCAGGCGATTTGGCTCACGCCTGTAATCCTAGCACTCTGGAAGGCCGAGGTGGGTGGGTCGTTTGAGCTCAGGAGTTGGAGACCAGCCTGAGCAAGAGTGAGACCCTGTCTCTACTAAAAATAGAAAGAAATTACTTGGACAGCTAAAACTATATAGAAAAAATTAGGCATAGTGGCGCATTCCTGTAGTCCCAGCTACTCAGGAGGCTGAGGCAGGAGGATTGCTTGAGCCCAGGAGTTTGAGGTTGGTGTGAGCTGGGCTGATGCCATGGCGCTCTAGCCCGGGCAACAGAGTGAGACTCTTGTCTCAAAAAAAGAAAAGAAAGAGGAAAGGCAGAGGACAGAGTTAAAGGACTTGTCTTACCATTTTAAACAGCTAATAAGAAATAAAGTAAATAAAGCAAATATTGACAGAGAAAGAAAAAGAAAGAGGACAGTCACGGGACTTGTCCTAGCAGGGTGGAAATCTTTGGATGGTTGTTAAGAAATGGGATAAATAAAACAGACATTGATGGACTACAACAAAGTTTTTAATACAGCACTACCAAAGGCTGAGCACAACAAAGGGACCGCCTGCTGGTCCCTCAAAATGAAAGGGCTCTGAATAAGTCCAATCTATTCACTCCAGTTTGGAGAAATTTGAAAAGCCAGAAGGCAAAGTCTACCATGAGAAACCTGACCAACACTCACTGGGACAGTGGTTAGACAGATTAATAAAGATAAAGATTGACAAAAGGGCCAGAATCTCTTGGATGGGGACCCAAGGCCTTATGTACACGAGTGGGTAAAATGTCGGGGGTAGAAAGAAGTTCCCAGGACTCCTTGGTACGGGGAGCCCCATGCACTGTGATACCCAAGCTCACTGGTAAGCCCTGAGGCAGGCTATGGTTAGATTGAGAGAATATTAAAATGTAAGAGTTGGTAGGGTCATGAAAGTTGGAATTTAGGTAAACAGGCTTTAGGTAAAGAAGTTGTATCTCCTTTACTTGAAAGTTTGATGGGAATGGACATTATGTCTCACTGGGGAACACTTCCCCTACCTGGTATTGTAAAACCAAAACCTGTTGAGGTCCTAATGAAGGCTACAGTTAGGAATATAGAAGTTGATGCAATTAAGGTGAAAGTTTGTAGAATTGGTACATTTGAACAGCCTCTATGTGAAGTGGTTGTGTCTCTTTTGCATGGTTGTTTGATGGGGAAGGACACCGTATCTGACTGGGGACTGTTCCCCTTGTACTGCAAAGCAGGAGGCGCCAGCACCTCACAGGACTTAAACATCAGTGCTGGGAGCACTGCCAGATGTCACAGGTGTAGAAGCTAAGACTTCCTTCCCTTGCTTCCTCTGCACAATGCTGCAGAGACCACACACATATTTCTTATTATGTCACAGTCCCCTTAGCCGGTAAGGCATTGATGACAAAGAAAAAGAAAGTATGAGAATGTAATCCCAATCTGGGAAATATTTTTAGATTTTTTTTTTTTTTTTTGCTTTGAAAACTGTAAGACAATCTTCATCCTCCAGTAAAGCCCAGTTTTTGGACAACTACAAGAAGTGATATTTTACACAAAAGGATGAAGACTGACGATACAAGAATATTAAATGGTGCCACATTTGCATGTAGTTATCTTTGACATTGGGAAGAGGATGAAGGGGCCAGTCCTATTGTATCTAATTAGTAATTCTTTTTTTTATTTTTTATTTATTTATTTATTTTTTTAAATTGATTGGCCAATTAATTTCTTTCTATTTATAGTAGAGATGGGGGTCTCACTCTTGCTCAGGCTGGTTTCGAACTCCTGACCTCGAGCAATCCGCCCGCCTCGGCCTCCCAGAGAGCTAGGATTACAGGCGTGAGCCACCGCGCCCGGCCTATTTATTTTTTTTGAGACAGAGTCTCACTTTGTTGCCCAGGCTAGAGTGAGTGCCGTGGCGTCAGCCTAGCTCACAGCAACCTCAATCTCCTGGGCTCAAGCTATCCTACTGCCTCAACCTCCTGAGTAGCTGGGACTACAGGCATGCGCCACCATACCCAGCTAATTTTTGTATATATATATTTTTAGTTGGTCGATTAATTTCTTTCTACTTTTGGTAGAGACGGGGTCTCGCTCAGGCTGATTTCGAACTCCTGACCTCGAGCGGTCTGCCCGCCTCGGCCTCCCAGAGTGCTAGGATTACAGGGTGAGCCACCATGCCCGACCTCTAATTAATAATTCTAACAGGCTGTGGAGAAGCTTGTCATGGAAATCATGAGGCATAGTGAAGGCTGTGTGTTATTGCCAGATTGTTCTTACCAGGTTGTTAAGTCATAGATGAAAACAAGCAGTGTTAGAGGGTATTCCCAACCTTCCAGGGGTATCTAGCCCTGGTGAAGCAGATGCTGTCAGTACCCTCCAGATCTCTGGACTTTTTAGAATTCCCAGTTGATTTCCAACTGCTACTATGTGGATCCTACAGCCCCTCTTCTTCTTGGAAATGTAGAAAAGTGTTATGCCTACTTGCAAGGCAGACAAGAGTAGCAAGGAATTAACACTTTCTCCCCAACACCTGCAGGTAGATCCCTCATCCAGTAGCTCTGAAAAATTGGTGTATAAATACTTCATCTCCTTGTCCTTGAGTAGAATAATTCTGAGGTGTGTGTTTTGTACCGTCCCTAGCTGTTTTTCTGTAAGGTTGATCTCCGATGCCCACTGTAGTAGGACACGTTTTTTTAGAAGTCTTCCCTTGCCTGTATCACAGAGCCACTTCATACCAGTGTCCCCTGTATCTTCTGAATAAACTACCAGTACTTGAACCCTTGCCTCACCGTCTGCTTTGGAGGGAACCAAACTAAGACACCTTCAGTATGGGGGTTCCCATAGAGCATCTCTTGGCATCCCAGCTATAAAGAGAACACTGGCAGATTAGAATCAGGGAATAAAGGAATGTTCTATTTCTTGTTTTTCAAATTACATGGAAATAATCTAATCTGGATGCACTTTATTGTTGTGGTAGTAACATTGAAGTGGCTAGTGATTAGACGAAATATTAATATATGCTTGGGGGTGGGGACCCAAAAGAAATCCTTCTTAAGCAAAGTGGACATCTGAAGAAATTCCTGGATGGCCAACATGCAGGAATGATAATCAAAATATTTAACACCTGGTACAGCATGAGCCTCAAACAATCATGAAAAATGCTTGCTTGTGCACTGCGGGGCTGCCACACCAACTTATGTTGCCTCTGCCCCAGGAAACAAGGATTCCTGGTTCTGCCTGGGTCAAACCTTCAGGCTAGGTTGAGAGATCACTGAGTAGAGAAGGGTTTACTTGGCTTTCTCCGAGGGAGCTCAGAGATTTGATTCCCACTCAGAAAGAGAAGTGATGGGCAGAAATAGTCATTAAATATCTCCAAAGGGAGCTAAAGGCCCAGCATCAGGCCCTGTCATCAGGACTTTGTCAGCTTTACACATTATTATGTGCATCCTCTCCTGACTATGGAAGTGAAGGCCACAAACAGCACATGGTTTCCTTCTAGAGAACTGTCTCTTCTCCATCGTGGGTGTGCAAGACCAAACTACCAAAGTTGCCAACAGGTCAGTGCGTATATGACCCGAGATAAGCAGATCAGAGTCCATGAAAGTGAAGCAGAATGATGGAAGTATGTGGGAAAGGTGTTTGCAGTTCATTTATTAGGACACTAGTGATTGTGTTAATTCATTCACTCACTGAGGATGCTATAAAGTATGGTTAACTGATTCCTGTTACCCAGACCCCAGAAGTGCCTGGTTTCTCTTCATCTCCTAGACCTTCTCAGTTGATTCTGTGAACCTTCTGATAGATAGCCTTCCAGAAATTTCCTTTTGTTGCTTAAAATTTCCAGAAGTGGTTACTTTTGCTTGTAACCAAAGAAGCATGATTAATTTGGGTCCCATATGCTTATCTTCACTCATGTTTTGTGGGGAGCAGACCCCCTGTAAGAGAGTGTATGGAAGCAACTACTGAAAAATGGAAGAAAAGCCAGTCCCTAATCTTCACAAACAAAGAAGACACAGGAGGCTGCTGTGGGTTTGAAGGATTTGATGTGCATCACTTGAAGATCAGCTTCAGCTCGACTGGCTCTCAGCTACCTATGGAGCTAGAATTCCATTCCTGCCTGCTCCATTGTCCCTGAGTCTACTGGCTTATGAGTCAGGAGCTTCTCATAAGCAAAGCCCTAGTGGTTTGGGCAGATACTGGGGAAAGGACAAAGGCTCCCATCAGGCTCACTTAACTCTTGTTAGCAATTCTGGTTGATGGGGAGCAGGTAGGCATTGAAATCATGGGCTAAAATGAGGCTTCACTGGAGTATGTAGATGGTGCCTGCTGCGATATTCATATTTACTACAAAGCAATTATATGTGTGTCTATGTATATTTCATGGAAACCATACTGTGAAGTGGGTGAATTTTAATGCTTACTTTCATTAAGAAAATTGGGAAATGAATTTTCTTTCATAATTTTAACCATGTCTTTGCCAGCACTGGGTACAATACATCTATATCAAACTCTAAAAGGGAGCCATTTGAGCACCCTGCCAACCTGGCCCACCCACAGATCTTTGCCTAGTAGCCCTGTCTTCTATAGAATCGAGCTCGGGCAAGAACATCATTGACGTAGTCATTGTCTATGTCCTCTGGGGCGCCAATCGCTTCAATTCCTGATCTAAAAGCTGAGAGACCACCTGAAATGAAACACAGAGGTTTAGGCTCAAATATTAACTTTCAGTAAAAATAAGATATGAGCATTCTCGGGATGTCAGCCCTGCAGGCAAATCTTCCAAAGCAGTTAGTCCCAAATCCTTCTTCCTCCCTTCCTGAAAGGATACCATTAAAATGTGGACGACAATACCATGGATCTATAGGAAGTAAACTTAATAGCAGTTTATATGATTGGATATAAAGAGAAAGAACCAGAGGGCCTGAGAAAACAATCTGGTTTTCTGGCTGGAATGACCAGTTCTATTATGGTGCCTCTAAAGAAAATGCAGAAGAAAGAGCAAATTTACAGCGGGAGGCTAGTGAGTTAATTCCATCTGGGAGATGCTGAATTTGAGGGGACCTGTGGTCAGCCAAGTAGAGATCGCTATTTGGACATAATCATGATACCCGAAGCCCTGAGAATGCTCACAGAATAAAAGTTTGATCATACAATTTGGAAAGTTGTTGACAGTTTCTTACAATAGGAAAAAACCTATGAGAGGAAGGCAAACATATTCTTTTAAGTTATTACATTAACTTTCAAGGCATTGTTCAATGGCTCAATAAGTGATGAGAGACACAATAAAAATCCCAGCATCTTGCAGAAGGGGAAGTGGAAGTCAAGGAAGGAAGACCCCTCAAAGTAACTCAGTGGTTCAAAGAATGCTAATGCAGCCTTTAGACAGCTCCTCCCGGCCCACTGTTGACCCAATGGGAATGTTCCCAAGGAGGCCCAGGGCACATCTGCCCGCCAGTGGTCTCATTCACTGCTCATTTAAACAAAGCACTCAAAAATATGGCCTACCTTTGAGGTGCTGAGTTGCGTTCCATGTGGGGAATTTTTTCTGGATTGCCTTAATTCTGTCTGTAAGAACCCCAACAGCCTGCAAAAGGTGTTCTTTGCTGTCCCAGGTACCAACAGGGTGGTAAATTTGTTTATCAAGCTAGAAAAGTAGATAATAATGTCAACGTCTGGATGAAGCAACACATTTTTCTGCTGCTCCTAATTTCTCCTCCTGTGGTCAAGTTCACCTACACTGGCTTCAGCACCCTTCCTTTATCCCTCAAGAGTCAATTCTACTGTTCTTTCTGTCATAGAGAAGACAGGCAGGGAAACAAAGTACAGTTTAGAAGTGGACATGGCATAGTTTTAGCTAAGCATTCTAATATACAATCAATAAACCAGTGAATAAAGTGGTTTCAAATAATTAGCCGAAGTCTAATGTCTATACCCAAAGTATAGACATTTATAGTAAAAAAATATCTATCCAGCTAATTCAGGTAAAAATGTGTTTCTAACTGGGAAGGCTAGATGTCTGTGCTTCTACAGATAAAATAGAGCCTAGAAGTAAATATCCAGATACTTGAATCCCTTTCCTCCAATTTACGCAAAGGAACATGTTGGTTCAAATAGGGCTCAATTATACAGTGTTTTGATACATAAGGATGAAATTCACTACTTCATGAACCCCAGGAGGACACCTGTAATAACAGTGCCCTTTATAAGATTTTCTCAATTTAAGTACATTGCATATTATTTATCATAGAATTGTATTAATAATTACCAAATCATAAAATACTTTTTTGAAGATATCTTATAACTGATAAACCTTGAATGAAATCCCAATGATGTGGTACAGAAATCCCAGAACAAATTATGCTGTAGTACCTACAGCCAGATGCAGGGTGTTTGGGGCATGGGAGAACCAGAGATGGATTTCCAGCTTGGGGTGAGCTTCTGCAAGGAAGGGTGAAGTGGAGCTGATGGAAAGATTCTAGCCAAATACCTGCATCAAGCCAAATTTAAGTCCCCTGTGGTCCCAGCCATCTCTCAGGATACTTCCGCCATGGCTTTCCCTGGAGATGATGGCCGCAATGATGGCAGGATCGACGCAATGCCTCTGTCCTACTTCTTTGATCACAGTCTGGTAAGGCTTTATGGCCCTCAAATCCATCTCAGCAAACATTTCAGAACCACGGATCCCTAAGTCAAAAGGGAAAAAAGAAATCAAAAACGGTGTTTTATTCTACTCCAGAAGAGAACCCTTTTTCAAAGTTTGCTAAGTTAAGCCACAGCCCCTGACTGCTGCCCACAGCTTGGGACAACCATTCTAAGACATCCTTTTGCTCTCTGACTACAGAAGCCCAGGCAGGTCTACAACCCAGACAGGTGCCACTTCCACTCAGTTCCTCCTAATTTCTGCCACATTGGCACATGGGGAAGTCTCTTGGACTAGGAATCAGCCAATCCAAGTTATTTAGCCTGGCTCGGCCAATACCTGGCTCTGGGCCACTGGAAGTGACTCCTCCCTGCTGACCCTTGGGGTTCTGATCTGTGAATCAATAGGGCTGGGTGAGATGTGACCTTGTGGTTGCTTTAACTCTCTAACACCAGGATGACATCGCAAAGACGACTTTGGAACAGGATTACAAAGGGGGCTCGCTTAAAGTGCTCATGCTGTAACATGAAGTAAACACAACCACCAACACAAATCAAAGCCCGAATCTAATATTTTATTTAAGCTGTAGTTTCAATATGTAGAAATGAACACATCTGGACAAAGTTTGGAACCAACGAGGGAAAAAATGAAAAGAAGTGACTTGTTAGGTTGGTCAGGATTCTGGTTTTTTCTAATTTTTAGTTTTGATAATATTGTCATCATGATAATGATACCTTTTCAAAATTACATTACTTCCCAAGAATCTTAAAATGATGACCGGGGAAAGCCAAATGTTCGCTTTGCTATCCACTTACCGCAGCTAATCAAACTGTTTATATCACAGGCAGCCCCCGAGGTCTCCATGGTCATGATGTCCCCGTAGCAGCCACGGTACAGGCGAGGCTGCAGGTGAGGGCTCATTGACTGAGTGAAAGGGTACGAGCCCCTGGAAGTGCCTGGGAGGCAGAATGATAATGTGCATGAAGCCTTGGAGAAAATATTGTTTGAGTGAGTTGCTCTATAAGAAACATCACTAAACCAAAGGCAAGGGCCCCAGATTGGTCCTCCCCAAAGCCCTTGTTGCCATTATTGGCTCATCAGACAAAATAGAAGTTCCCTCTTCCCACTCCACTCCAACCTTTTCTTTTGTGTTTTGTATTAATACCGCACTTAATTCCAAAACACCATGTAAAACATTATAAAATTCAACTCTTACAGCATTTGCTACAGTCTTCTGGAGACAGGGTCTTGCTCTGTCACCTGGCATCTGGGCTAGAGTGCAGTGCCATCATCTGAGCTCACTGCAACCCCAAACTCCTGGGCTCATGCCAGCCTTCTGCCTCAATCTCCCAAGTAGCTAGGACTACAGCCACATGCCACAACGCCTACTAATTTTTCTTTTTTTTTTTTTATATCGATGGGGTCTTGCTCTTGCTCAAACTCCTGACCTCAAGTGACCCTTCTGCCTCGGCCTCCTGGAGTGCTAGGGTTATAGGCGTGAGCCACCATGCCTGGCTATGCTGTCTTGATCAGAATTAAAATGGCCACAAGATTTTTAAGCGGGAACCTTGAGAGAAATTTTAAAACACTTCTGGGGATGTAAACATCCAGATTAACAATTTGCCTTTGTTTACTAAGATAAGAAAGAAGAGTACCATAACAAATTAAATATGTTCTTATTTTATATCATTGTTGTGAAGCTGAGTTGCTAAGTCTGATAAAATTAGGAAGAAAAATTCAATTTACCAAAAGAATTTAAATCCATTCTAATTCTTATTTTTTGTTCCATCATTATAAAGTGAGTTTCTGTCAAAGTCTATTTGTTTTTTGTTTTTGTTTTTTTGTGAGACAGAGTCTCACTTTGTTGCCCAGGCTAGAGTGAGTGCCGTGGCGTCAGCCTAGCTCACAGCAACCTCAAACTCTTGGGCTCAAGCAATCCTTCTGCCTCAGCCTCCCAAGTAGCTTGGACTACAGGCATGTGCCACCATGCCCGGCTAATTTTTTTTTCTATATGTATTAGTTGGCCAATTAATTTATTTCTATTTATAGTAGAGACGGGATCTCACTCTTGCTCAGGCTGGTTTCGAACTCCTGAGCTCAAGCAATCCGCCCGTCTCGGCCTCCCAGAGTGCTAGGATTACAGGCGTGAGCCACCGCGCCCGGCCTCAAAGTTTATTTGTTAAAGTAGATACAGAGCTTTTTCTAAAGGAGATACAACATTATTTTCTGTACTGTTAAAAGGTTTGTTCCAATAATTCCAAGGATTGTTGACTTGTACCTTAAGACTATGAGTATTTGTTATAAGAAAGTATCTTTGTTAAAATGTTTGATGCAATAAAACAGAACCTGACCACCCCTGCATTACTACGATGGTCCAAACCAGTGTCATTGCTCATCTGGATTCTTGTCCCAGCCTTCTAACTGACCTCTCTCTCCACTCGAGCAGCCTATTCTCCACCCAGCAGCCAGAGTGGTCCTGTAGGAACATTCATGAAGTCATTCCTGTCGTCTCTCTTACCCTTCCAATTGCTATCTCTGCATTTAGATGGACGGTCAAGTCCTCCTGTGGCCTCCAAGCCCTACCTGATCCGGCTCTCTGCTCCTTTCCTACTTCTTCCCTTTGCTCACTCTCCTTCAGCCACGTTCTTCTCTGTGCTTATCCTTCCACACTCCAGGCACATTTCTGCCTCAAGGCCTTTGCATTTGTGGTTCCTTTTGCCTACAATGCTACTTCTCCAGGTATCTATGTGATTTACCACCTCGCTGCCTTCAGGTCTCTGTTCAAATATCACCTTAGCAGCAAAAAATATAAATAGACAGTTCAGAGACAAAAAACAAAATGGTCCTTAAACATACAAAAAGATGTTCAACCACACTCAAAAGAAGAGAAAGCCATATTAAAATATTACAGACAGCACCTGCCAACTCTTCAATCAGCAAGAATCCAAGAGTTTGGCAATACACGCTGGGAGAGGCTGTGAGGGAAAAGGCAGTCTCGTACATTGCTGTGGAGGGCAGCTTTGCAACAGGCTGTTCATTTCAGCACTGTTCATAACAGCAAAGGACTGGAAACAACACAAATGTCATCAATGCAGGGACTGATGGAATGAACTAAGGCACATCCACACAATGGAGTACTATGCAACTGTAAAAAGAAAAAAGGAAGCTCTGTATATACTTCTGTAAAATCATCTCTAGGAACAGAATGGTATTTATAGAATCATATTCTTTATGTAAGAAAGGGGGAAAAATACAATTGTGTATGTGTGTAATTTGCTCATATTTTCAAAAGAAATAATACAGGATGAACTAAAAACATGTAAAAATTGTTAGTTATGGGAGGGGATAAAAGGAAGATAAGGGAACAGGGATAGAGGTTAGATTAAATTACCATTACCTTTTTCATAGTTTTTATTTTGGAGCTATGTAAATGTTCCTATCTTTTTTTTTTTTTTTTTTTTGAAACAGAGTCTTACTCTGTTGCCTGGGCTAGAGTGCTGTGGCATCAGCCTAGCTCACAGCAACCTCAAACTCCTGGGCTCAAGCAATCCTTCTGCCTCAGCCTTCTGAGTAGCTGGGAGGGACTACAGGCATGCACCACCATGCCCAGCTAATTTTTTCTATATATATTTTTATTTGTCTAGCTAATTTCTTTCTATTTTTAGTAGCTCTTGCTCAGGCTGGTCTTGAACTTCTGAGCTCAAACGATCCTCCTGCCTCAGCCTCCCAGAGTGCTAGGATTACAGGCATGAACCACCGCGCCTGGCTGTTCCTATCCTTTTAAAAGTTAAATCAAATAGGAAAAAAAGGAATTGTAAGAAAAAGAAAAACCAATACACTTAACTGTACATCAAGTTGAAAGCTTAATTAACATATAGAGAAGAATTATCTCAAGTGACTTTAAAATATGTCAGTGTAAGTATATACCACTAATGGAATACATCCCATGAACATAAAGAATCACAAGAAAATCTTAAACTATATTCACAGTCTCATTTTTGGTTGGTAATACTGTCATAGTTATTTTGACACTTATTATATAAACATAATAATGCTAATGTCATTAGAACCAAGAGTTTTAGTGTAAGATAGCAGAGGAACAAATATAAAACTAATGTAAAACCCTTGTATTCTTAAATATGAATGTGAAATGTCTGTATAAATGCATAGTATTTTTCTCTTAAAAATATGTATTTTCTAATTATCTCCACTGAAAAGACCTAAAAGGAACAAAAACTCCATAGCAATGGAGCACCCCTAGCACCCAAACTGTGGTCCCTAAATACCATTTCCTGTTAAGAAACACCAGAACTCCTCAGGATAATTACTGATTTCTGGTCTGGGGCAACAAATATTGGAGATGAGCCAGGAATACTTTTTTGTGCCAAAGCTGATCCTTATATGTTAGAGATATAACAAAAAATTTTATAAGTGAAATGTTTTTATGTTTTAGATTTGCTTTAAAATACTCCACAACCAAACATATGTACACATACACATACACACACATACCACACACAACAAGGTAGGGGTGAAGGATAGATAAAATAGAAAGGCAAAATGTTGAAAACTGTAGAAGCTGGTTATGAATATATAAGAGTTTATTATACAGTTCTCCCTTTTATATGTTTGAAACTTTCTATAATAAAAAAAAAAGTAGGTCACCTTACCAGAGAGCCTTTCTTGTCCACCTGTATTAAAAAGATGACACACTCATACCTCATTCCTTGTCCCCCATTACCTTATATTATTTATATCACTACCATCTTCCTTTTTCCCCCCTCCCTCCCTTCCTTCCTTTTGTCCTTCCTTTTTTTCTCCTTCCTTCCTTCCCACCTTCCTTCCTTCCTCTCTCTCTTTACTTCTCTTTTCCTTTTTTTCCTCTCTCTCTCTCTCTTTCCCTCTCTCCCATCTTGCCTATTCCTCTCTCTAGAAGGTAAACTCCATAAGGGCAGAGACTCAATGTTTTTCTCTGCCATATCCTCGTTAGCAAATAGAACAATGCCTAGCACAAAATAGAAAATACATAGTTATTGATAGATGAATGGTTAAGTGGATGGATGAAGGAACAAGAAAGAAAGGGATTATCTAAATTATCTGGGTCAAGTATCTGTATATTGACAGGTTCAATATCCTTTTACTGGGGAAGCAGCCTTTTCCATGCTGGCTGTGTGGCCCACAGACCACAGGCATCATAGTGACCTGGGATGCTTATTACAAATGCTTGTTACCAGGCTCCTCATACCAGATCTACTGAACCAGGATCTTTAGGTATAAGGCCTAAGAATCTGTACTTTAACCAGCATTCCCAGTTGACTCTTATGCATAAGTTTGAGAACCACTGCTTGAGGGGAACTGGAATATGACCATGAACTCTACACTACTTTTGCTGACATTATAAACACACAGGCCCTTTTAAAATTAGAGTAACCTTTCATTTATACACAGCTAGTATGGTAGCTCATAATTAATCTACTGGCTATATAATTCTGCTCCCACCTGGCAATTTAAAAAGGAGTAAAAATTTGAAACTTTGTTGCCTTTCTTTTGACCATAAGTAACTGGAAATTATTTTTAAGTAGCCTCACTTTTCCAAATTTAGAATTAAACATTTTAGAAACACTTTCTTCTTAGTCATTATCCTACAAGACTACTTGAACATTGCTTACAGTGGCTCTTCATTTTTCTTAGGTCAAAGTTATGATGTTTTCTTATTCAAGGTCCCTTACCATCTCACCAGCCTTCCCCTCAGAAATCTCCTCTTCTGTTCTGTCCCATTGACCCGCCGACTGTACCCCAAACACTTTTCGTGCATGTCGGCTTCTGCACCTTTACCAAAGTGATTACTTCCACCCAGCAGGCCCTTCCCTCTTCTTGGTAAATACCAGGCATTCGGCCAGGTGTGGTGTCTCACACCTGTAATCCTAGCTCTCTGGGAGGCCGAAGTGGGGAAATCGCTTAAGGTCAGAAGTTCGAAACCAGCCTGAGCAAAGAGCAAGACTCGTCTCTACTAAAAGTAGAAAGAAATGAATTGACCAATTAAAAATACATAGAAAAAATTAGCTGGGCATGGTGGCACATGCCTGTAGTCCCAGCTACTTGGGAGGCTGAGGCAGGAGGATTGCTTGAGCCCAGGAATTTAAGGTTGCTGTCAGCTAGGCTAATGCCACAGCACTCTAGCCAGGGCAACAGAGTAAGACTCTGTCTCAAAAAAAAAAAAAAAAATTCCAGGAATTCTTCAACTTTCATGTCCCCCCAAAAAGCCTCTCATATCTGAACATCCTAGCTAGATATGAGCTCTTCCTCCTAAACTTCCAGACTAGTGGTGTTTTTTTTTTCCTTTCTATCTAGAATCATTTAACTCTTATCTACTGCCTAGCAGTGACAATTGCATCTTCATATGTTTGCCTTCCAAGGCACTGTTCCATATGCCTCTTGATAAGATATCAAGCAGACCAGCCTGAGCAAAAGCAAGACCCCGACTCTACAAAAATAGAAAAAATTAGCCGGGCATGGTGGTGCACACCTGTAGTCCCAGCTATTCAGGAAGCTGAGGCAGGAGGATCACTTGAGCCCAAGAGTTTGAGGTTGCTGTGAGCTCGGCTGACACCACAGCACTCTAGACCAGATGACAGTAAGACTGTCTCAAAACAATATATCAGGCATAATAAGTACATCGTCAGACAGAAAGTAAGCAGATCAATAAATATTTAATTATTTAAAATTCCCACTGATATTGCCATCACCTTCTTGGTAGGCAGAATACACTCTTAATTATAGAAATAACAGTTGATTAATGGCCAGGTTGGTCAAGAGAGCCCACTCTTCAATTACATGCAATCATTGCTCCTTCCGATTCAGGACTAAGCTGGATGTTTTCATGCATACCCTGTGAACAATGCCAAAGGTCAAATAGAGACTTACCAATGAGGGCAATAAGTCCCCAAAACATGACAGAGGATAGCATGGTGGGGAATCTTATCGTACAGGATATGTTCTGATCTGAAATAGAAATTGGTTAATTTTAAACCTTGGAAGTTTTTAAAGGAAAGTTGCTTTGATTTTTTTAAAAAGTTTAGGATTATTTCTAATTCAACATCCATTTTCTAGTTCCAAGATAGTATTCTCAAAGAGTCAGCACATGGTTGGTTGGATCACTTTCTTTCCTAAGTATAAACTCCCAACTCATTTCAATCCAATTTCATATTGACATGAGCCATGCACATCTTACAAATGTTACCCCACATACTCCCATCCCATTTCTAAGCTTGGTGATCCCACAATTTTGTTCCATTTCTTTTTTTTGTTTTGTTTTTCAGAGAAAGGATCTTCCTTTGTCACCCAGGTTACTGGAGTGCAGTGGCTCACTGCAGCCTCAGATTCCTGGGCTCAAAAGATCCTCCCACCTCAACCTCCCAAGTAGCTGGGACCACAGGGGTTACCATGCCTGGCTAATTTTTTTTTTTTTTTTTTTTTTTTTGTAGGGACAGAGTCTTACTGTGTTGCCCAGGCTGATCTCCAACTTCTAGCCTCAAATAATCCTCCCTCCTTGACCTCCGAAAGTGCTGGGATTACAGGAATGAACCATTGCACCCAGCTTGTTCCATTCTTTTATTTTTTGAGACAGGATCTTGCTCTGTCACCCACTAGAGTTCAGTGGTGTCAACATAGCTCATTGGAACATCAAGCTCCTGGGTTCAAGTGATCCTCCTGCCTTAGCTTCCAAGTAGCTGGGACTACAGGCGCGCCAACATGTCTAGATAATTTTTCTATTTTTCATAGAGACAGGGGCTCGCTTTTACTTATGCTAGTCTCAAACTCCTGGCTTTAAGCAATCCTCCCACCTCAGCCTCCAAAAGTGTTAGGATTACAGGCATGAGTCACGTCCCCTAGCCCCACACATTGTATTGATAGTACAATCTCCATAGGAAAAAAAAAAAACAAAATAAAACACCAACAAAATACCAAGAGAAGCATCAGAGAACATGACTTAAAAGAGGTTTGCTCCATTTCTTCCTCAATCAATTCTTTTCTTGATTTCATTGGAAAGATAGCTTAAATTTTATAAGATACAAGAGGGCCAGCACTAACCTGGTTTGCAAGATCACAGAGAAAATTTCCTCTCTGTTGGGGACGGTCTTCTATACTCAGCAGCAAGCTGCACGTCAAGCTTTTACAAAGTGGTGTTTGTCCTGTAACCTAGGTTTAAGCAATGGCAGAATGCATTATTCAGTAGATCACTGAGCACCTGGCTTCAACTGAGTAGAACTCAGTGTGGCTGTACCACCATGAAGGAAGCTTTTAAACACCAGCACATAGACTCACCTACTTCTTGCCTTTGTCCTGTACGATCATTAGAAGAGCTTTATATATGGCTTAAAACCCACTCTTTAAACCACTGACCTCATTAGGCCTGATTATAATAATCCTTTGGTCTTAGGTGGCCCCTTTAATAAAAGGATTTCAAAGAGTTTAATAACTACTATTAATTAATTAATCTAATGAACCCCCACGTTGTTCTGGAGGCATATATTTGATGGATATTTGAAACTGTACTAAACAAATAGCTTCTAAATTTGAGAATAAGAAACAGATAATTAGCCTTAAAAAGATAAATAAACAGGACTACTAGCAGCTTTCATTCTTCAACTGGTTGTCTAAAATGCTGATTCTCCTATTTTTTGTTTCCCGTTCCAATGTCCCACAAACCCCACACCAATATGTCATGTGATCTCACGTCACCATGTCCCATGATCATGGTAGGTGAACTTGGCTCCGTGTTCCATGACACTTCTGACAGGTGCAAGTGTGGCTGCCTGCTCTAGATCATCGCAAAGCTGGCGGGTAGCGACATGGGTGCTCTCTGCCCACACTTTCTGAGGACATGGGCAAAAAGTATTTGCCCAGGGACGAAAATTTCTTCCCACTTATGTCCAAAGGAAGAGATGACACACATTGTGCAGCCCTAGAAACAGGAACTGGAAGGGACATTCCTGAAACAGGCAAAGCACATTTCCCAGAGTGGAGGAGGAATAAGTCTGGCCTGGATCCTTCCCCGAGTGTGAGAAGTGCCGCAGAACAGACAGCACGCCATCCTCCCACACAGCCACCAAGTGAAGCGAGGGGTGAGGGAGCTGAGCAGTGAGCAGGGAATGTTCCAGCTCCCCGGAAAGGAACAAACCACAATGTCTGGGAGAACATGCCCTCGCCAAGCTGAGGTCTGCACTGTCTCCTGGCACTCACTTCTGCCCTGCCTGCCTAGAACAGGCTGCCCTATGGTGGCCTCCAGCCTTCCGTTTGGGGAAGGGGTGGGGATGTCCTGAGCCTGGAAATGAGTCCTGCCTTGACTCCCAGGAAAACGACTCATGGAGGGCCTGCCCCATCGCCACCATCAACTCTGCAGTCAGGGCCGCTCTTTAATAAGGGATTGCACAGGGATCAGGGGTCCGGCTGCCCCGAGGCAGCCCTTAGAGACACATCGGCATCACCGGCGACAATGGCAACATCACACGGATGTGTTCATGGACCACCTGACTGCAGGTGAGTGGGGCCACTTATGTGAGGCTTTCAGGCTAGTGCAATGAGAAAGCTCGAGAAAGGGAGAAGAAGCAATGGAGAAAGAATTAAAAGTAGATGGAGGCTGAAACTCTCCTTAAACACTACTGGAGGAAAACAGTGAAAAGCACATTAAGGCACCATAGAATGTAAAGAATACTTATTTCTCTCTCTTCTTTTGGAGATTGGGGCTATAAGACCCTCCAGGTATAAAAGTCTTAATGTCCAGGCCTCAGCAACTTAAGTGATTGTTTTCAAACTCACGTGGATTATTCTGTTTCACTCAAACTGTGAGAGAAAAAATGAACATTTATAATATTTGACACCCATCATATGCCAGGTTCCTGTGGACATTATGTTACACAATTGTAATGGCCCTATGAGGTGAGTATTATCTCTTACTTTAGAAATGAGGAGACTGAGATTCAGAGAAGTTAAGCAACTAGTCAAAGATGGCACAATTAGCATGTGGCAGAGCCAGGATTTGAACCCAGGTCTGTAAGATCACAAAATCCAAGCTCTTCCACTATATCAGAGGTACCAGCACTATGGACCAATGACCCTGCAGAGCAATTATTGTAACAGGTCCAAATCTATCTGCACACAAAGCATTGTTTGTGGTCTGAATAAATAACACCAGTCACAGATATTTATGCTACTGTCTTCGAAGTGTTTGTAGGTGCTGTTGTAATTTCTAAAACACAAACTAATGTGAGTTAACTAAATCCACAGTGGCTTTCTGTCATTTATATTTTTCCACCAGTAATAATAATATAGTTAATATGCACTGAACTTGGACAGTATGCTTAGTAGAACACTAATAAATATGCACTGAATTTGTGCAAAATGCTTAGTGGAACGCTAGTAAGGGGCATGGCCTAAGTTTGTTGCACGCTGAAGCCTAATTCTCAACTGCTATACCCCACTGCCTCAGTGGGTGGTTAAGTGCGGTTACCATCATATGAGGATCTTAGAAATCTCTTGACACTTAAAGGAAATTTACTGAATGATTCTCCTCATTGTCCCAGGGATGCCAAGAGTGACTGTGTGTGAGTTGCACTGATATTGCCAGGAAGGATTAAGGGGACCTTGGCTCCTGCCATAGTCCCTGTCAGTCCTCCAGTTCCCAAAATAAAAACATGATCTATATGCAAACAGTGTCCATGCTATACACATAAAACTCTATGACCTCATCCCCCACCCTCAAAATTCTTCAGTGTAGCAATTCTCTGGTAGACTGGTAGGTCCTACTGTACTTGGGGTTCCTGGCTTTAGTGGTGAGGACTCCTGTCATCCCTAACATTGAAGTGGCTTCAGTAATAGACTCTAAGACAGGCTGTATGTAGGTTCCACAAAAACAGCTTGCCTTGATCGGTCGCTCCAAAAGCAGGGTGTAGCAGAAAGAGCCCTGCCCTAGGAGTCTAGGACCCAGTTTGCAGTCTCAGGTCTGCCACTCGGCAGTTGGGGCATCAGTCTAGGTGTCGTTTTCTCATCTCTGGAATGAAGAGGCTGGACAAGGGCAGCTGGTCACTAAGGTCTGGCTCCAGCAGTCACTGGGGTTGGTGAGCCAAGCCTGTCCTGCATCCAGAGGGGAAGGGATACGGGAGGTTGAGCGGAGAGGCTTAAGTACAGTTTTGAACAGTATTACAGTTTTTAGCATTTTTCATGAAAACTTGGAGGGCATTTTAGTTTTCACCGAAATCATAAATGCCAGGCAAACCGTCCTGTGTTTTCTTTTGATTTGCCTCCCTATCTTGTAACTGGCAAACAGTAGAAGACTGTTATCATATGTAGGCCCAGAATTTGAATTTATGATTCTGATCATCAACCTTTTTCACGCTGACAAGGACAACATAGGTAGAGGTGCTGTTTGTTTGCTTGTTATTCTCAGCCATAGTTACCTTGGCAGGCTGCCTAATGTATGGCAGATATGAATACTGCCAATGAAAGTCCTTAACTTTAAGCTGGGTGCAACAGTTTGCGCCTGTAGTCCCAGCTACACAGGAGGCTGAGTGGGAGGATCGCTTGAGCTCAGGAGTTTGAGACCAGCCTGAGCAATATAGCAAGACTCTTATCTCAAAAATAAAAAAAATGTTCTTAACTTTGCATGTATCAAGAGTAGCCTCAAAATTTTCCAAAATAATGTAAATGGCTGACAAATATATTAAATATATTTATAAATTATATATACTTATATATATTTATAAATTTAATATATTTATATATGATATATAATATATTTGTATATATTTAATATATACAAATATATTAAATTAAAAATTAAGATGCTTTTTACCATAATTTGCAGGAGACTCTCAGATCCAAGGGCTGGTTGTTGTTGCTTATAGTTTGAGGTTAGGTGGGGCCACAGCCTGGGGGACATTGCTACGCCAAAGTGCCTGTTACTATGACATCAGGCCCAAGCCT